AATCCGAGATCCATACAATAGTTTAGGGACCAAAGTAGAGGTTTAACCCTTTAATTTTTGTGTTAAATTCCCGAGGCAAGTTGATTAAGAAGGCTCACGGTTTTTCCGAATGCTATTCTTGGAAACGCCCCTATATTGTACTCACTTCCATTTTGGGTAAGCGCATCAGTGATAAGATAAGGCACGCAACCTGACGAACAAAATAAAACGACAACTTCACGAACCCGATGGCAACGCGTCTCCATGGAGGCCCTCTCCCAATTCCATCTTCGTCAATAGGCATGACAAAAATCAACTTAACCCGTGAACCAGACCTAAATTTAATTTGTAAAAATGAATTAAGATTCACATATTTTAATTTATGATGCGTTAATAATTTATAAATTTAATTTAAATGAGTCACAAATCATAAATAAGTTAATCTGTAAGTTGATAAATTGACTTGTATAATTTTTTTTGAAGACAAAAATTCTTAAGTTTATTACCTATTTATTACCAATAATAACAATAATGACCTTATTTATTATTATTAACAAAAATTAATTTTTTATTAACCAATTAACCCTATTTATTACTAATTATGATGGCACAATTTTCACGCCTCCACTCCACTCCACCTCACTAACTCACTGCAGAACTCTTTCATCTTCATGCTTTATTCGGTTCACTGCTCAAAAATCCCTAACCCCAATGTCTACTCACCCTCCACGACAGACTTTGCATCTTCCCCTTTCAATCCTCCGTATCCCTCACTTATCTTAATCACTTCACCAGCCACTTGTTTTAACACTTCCTTTCCCTCTGAACATTCATCCGCCTCCCTTATTCTCTCAAGCCTAATTCTTTCATGTTCAAGGTATGGATGTTTCAGATCTATAATTTTTTTTATGCATTTTGGATGTTTTTGTATTCAATTTTCAGTTTCAATATTTGATTTTATTTAACTTAATTTAATTTGAAATTGTGTTCTTTTTTTATCTAAAAATAGATTTTATTTTATTGAATTTTATCAATTTTCTGTTAATTCTATTCCACTTCCTTATTATTTTGATTTCATTTTATGATTTTTTTACGTGGCTTACAATATTGCCTCATCTCCTTTTTAGTTTTTGACTTTTAACTTGTTTCCTTATTTGGTGACTTACAAAAGCATCAACCCGTGGGTTAACCCATAATCCATTAAGGTAGGGTTAGAGTTGGTCTTTCTCAACCCGTAACCCATTGGCAACCCAACTTGTATAACCCGTCACCCGAGTTGATTCAATCCAAACCCAACCCAACCTAACCCAACCTAACCCAACCCGCCCGTTTGCCAGGTCCAGTTAATAGTAGGTACGAGGATTCTCATAGGGATTTTAGATAGAGAATAAAAAATAATCTTGGTTCCAATGTTCGCGAGAAATAATAAGTTCTCACGAGTATTTGGAGTCCTCGTCACATAAAACTATCACTTATTTCGCTGCTTGTTAATTAAAATTTTCATTACTTGTTAATCAAAAGTAAGTTCTATATGGATCTGTTTTAGACTCCACTGGTTTTCACATTTATCAAATAAAACTAACTCAATCATATAAAGTAAAAATTTGAAACAAGACAAATAAGCAGTAAATATACACAACCAACATATACATGTTAAGCAAGTCCAGCAAATTAGTAGCAAGTTCATAAAGAAAAATGGCATAAACTGCCATATAAGTTTAGCAAATCTAGCAAAAGGTTCATAAAAAAAAAAAGAAAAAAAAGAGAGCATAAACTGCAATTGTCATACACATCTAGTTATTAAGTCATTTGCTAATGTTTAGAATCGATGGGGGGTAGGCTCTTGTGAAGACATTTTCTAATTGATACCTAAGAATGAATCAAATTAGAAATTACTAGTTATTAAGTCAATGGCTTGTGAATTGATTGATTAAAACAAATTGTTTAATGGAAAAACTATAGCTTCAAATTTATTGAAGTACTCTAAATCATAAACACTAAAGCACAGAGAAGAAAAATAGGTGTGCTATGAGTGTGAGGTGAGGAGGACTTGCTAACCTGGAGTTGGAGAGCTTGAAGAGAATTAGAGGCATAGCCGTAAAGGAGCAATTTGTGAGCTACGATTTAGAGGACCTGCTGTTGTCACGTGAGGTAAGGAAGACGACCTAGAGTTAGAGCCTTGGAGCTGGAGGTGAGCCGTGAGTGGAGGCAACTTAGGCAAGCAACTAGCCATTGTTTTTTTCAATGGTAATAACAAGGGATGTTGAGAATGAGATGAGCTATTGGCGGCTGGTGATGAGCCTAAATTTCATACAATTATACATGGCTTTTTAGTCATGAATTGTAGTCTTTTATATTTTATTGGTATGATTTTATTTGGTTTTACATTGCTTTTATCATTCTTTATAGGTAGAGGGTAAAACTAAAGAAATCTAGAGTAAATGGGCTGAAGTGACAAAAGCTGAAAACATCAAGTCTGATTCCATGATTTTCCCATTCAAAGACCAGAATTGAAATTGCCTTCTGGACACACGTGGCAAAACCTGGTGGGCTTTATCTCCACAAGCAGATAAGATGGGCTTAGAAAAAGAAGGGCACACGGAGTTTTCAAAAGGAGGGCACATTGTTGAATATAAAAAGGGGGCAGCCGCTGGAGACTGAAGAAGGGAGAAGACGGCAGAGAAACCAGGGAGGCAGCCGGCAGAGAGCTTTGAGGCGAGTTTGAGGCAGAAGCTTGCGCAGATTCTGTGTGAGTGACAGCAGACGCAAGGGCAGCCGCTGGGGACACTTCAGGCTACAGATCTGAGTTCCACAAATTGGGTTTTTGCTCTTCTAGACTTATTTTTCCCTTGTTTGGATATGGAATTGTGGTTCATCAATTTAATCTCAGATTTTACCATGTTTAGTATGAACTAATTTTGCCATCTAAGGCTACGATGTAGCCTAATCAATTTAATATAGAATTTCATGATTTTTATACTTTCAAGGATTATTATTTCATGTAGAGTATATATTATTGTTCTTAATGCTTTTTAATGATTGGCCACCATTAAAACTAATTTGAAGAGCATAATTGAGACCGAGAGGAGATTTTATGCAATAGCTTTTAGTAATATATACCATGAATTGAATGAAAGCCAGAGATGGACCAACGTGATTTGTGTAGCATTAGTGATAAGTGGACTTAATTTTCTACGTAAACTAGGGAATTTCATAAAACATAATGCATCTTTATCTATTTAAATTCACATAGAGATATAGTGGGTTAATAGGTGAAGATAGGTTTGGTATAACTTGAGAAAGTATATCGAATAAAATAGGAAATCCCGCTGTCACATGAATAATAAATACCTTGGAAGTATATTGATCTAAAGTTCTTTATTAGTTGATGATGGTGAAGTCGGATGCCTTAGACTTTTAATTCTTGGTATTATTCAAAATTAATTTAGTTTTTCTTTAATTAGTTTAGTTATTTACTTTATTCAAATCATTTAATTTCAATTGTTCAAATAAAATTAGAATTCATTAATTTTGGTACTTAATTAGTCTATGGTCTCTGTGGGACGATACTCTATTTTCATCATTATATTACTTGAACCGACTAGTACACTTGCTAGAGTGGAATTAGCTCATCAGCTGGTTAAGAGATTTGAGAAAAGCTGTCGAGTGTGAGTGAGAGATGGGAGAAGATCAGCGTTGCACAATGGGTAGTGACGGTGAGAGCTTGAAGGGAATCACAGATGAGGATTGAGGAACAAAAACAGAGTTACAATGCAAAGGAGAGGAGGAATCTTAAATCTGAAAACTTTTGATAGTCCTACTAGGGTTACCAATGCAAATTGGGTTGGGCAATTAGGTTTGGGAAGACAAGATTGACAAAAGGAATGGGCTGGACTGAATAATCAGGTTTGGGAAAACTGAAAAAAGAATGGGTTGTTAAATTTAGAATGTATAGGTATTGGGTTAGCTAATTAGATTGGATAAGTAAAAATTAATTATTAATATATTTACAAAAAATATATATAAATAAATATATATTTTTT